TATTATCACTTTTACTTTTATTATTATATTTGATTATACTTTCTATTTCAAATCAAGGCACAAATAATTAAAAGACTTGATACTATTATGAAGAGTGTGTATTTCAAAGAATGGTAACTATCTTCCTTTTTTCAAAAGGCAGTTATTTTCCCTACGTGGTTTCCTAAAACAATTTGCTTTTCAGTGTATGCATTATCTCCATTACTGACCACGTTCATTTGTTGGTTGGTTGGTTGGTTGGTTGATTTAATCCTGGACCCTCTCTCCCTGAGCGGTCTCATAAAAAAGTTTGCTTTGTTGCTTTGAACTTCCTAATTTTCTGAGTTTGAGACCAGCAGGCAATTTGGAGGTAATGAAAGAGTCAGATCCAGTGAAATTCCCTCCAGCCTAGTCTAAAGTTCTCCATTTTTCTTCAGGAGCTAGAAAACAGTCTGGATTACTATATCCATATGAAAAAAGTGGGGAGGAGTTAGCTTTTGATGTTTCTTTTTGTTTTTGTTTTGGTGATTACACAGCATTTACTTCACAAAGTGTGAATCATTATCTCACTAAAACCTGTTACTGGCATGTTTTCAAATGTGATTAACATTACTGTGGTTGAATAATAACTGTGGATTTTTTTTTCATCTTGAAAAAAGTCTCTTACTAAAGAAGGTGGAATAAAATTTTTAACTACTTCAAAAGACTTTCCTTCCTACTATGGGGAAATCCTGGGAGTGGATAGTTGACAGGTGTTAATGTGATTAACATTCTGTTAGCTCTTCTTGTCAACTTGTTAAAGGTGCCCTGCTGCTGAGTCACACTCCCTGCCCTCCAGTTGGTGAAATGATTTATCCAGCAGTCAATCAAAAAGCTAAGCTGATTTTGGGCAATAGACAGCACCGTCATTGACAAAATCTATGTGAGTAAATGTGGTAAGAAATTTGTCAACAGGATATAAGCAGTAAGGTCAACATTGTTGTTAATATGCTTTTTAGACAGTTTAAGATGTGAAGAATAAATCACAACACATATTTAAAAGTCTAAGAAGCCCTCTTTTAAGAATGGTGTTCTTTCCTGTCAGAAAAAGCAAGGAGCAGTAAGTAAAAGTGATGCTTTGTTTTAAAAAAAGGCAAGAAAGACTCTTGTGCAGTCACACCACTGGTCAAGAAGAAAAAAACAAATGCAAAAATTGGAACCCACAAATAATGTCAAATCAGAGAACAGTCCTAAGGATTGGTTAGCAGTCCATTCACAGTGTTCCCTCTCATCTCTTTTTAGTATGGGCTATTTTTCAAACCTCTGAGAATGTGATTTCAGGTGTGATTCTGAACCTCACCCCACCATTATTAGCAATAGGAGCCAAACACACACGTAGAGTATATAATTTCTTGTAACCTTCAAAGAGAAAAAGAGAAGCCTCTAGAAATTAATGAATTAAAACCAACAGGGCTGACAAACCATAAGTGACTCTTAATCTCACAAAACAAACTGAGGGTTGCTGGGGGGGGGGGGGTTGGGAGAAGGGGGGTGGGGTTATCGACATTGGGGAGGGTATGTGCTATGGTGAGTGCTGTGAAGTGTGTAAACCTGGCGATTCACAGACCTGTACCCCTGGGGATAAAAATATATGTTTATTAAAAAAAAAACAAAAACCAAACAGGGCTATTACAAATAACTTCATGAGCTGTTGAAGTTATTCTGACACTATTCAAGCTTAAAACAATGAAACAGGCATAATGGTGGTCAGTTTTAGCATCAGATATGGAAAATACTCCTCATTTAATAAATAAGAACATTTTTGAAAAGTTCAAATATATAAAGTTAGGAATGTCTAATACAGAGGAAACATTCAATAAATGAGAATATTACCATTTTTAAACTTAGTAAAAAAGAATATAGATTCTATTTTAATTCACTGCACAAGTGAACTACAACTTCCAATATTATAATAAGCATAAGCCCATGAAGAATACCAAGAACTTTGCTTTTTTAAAAAATCAGGGTAATAGCAATAACTTCCCTACATGGTTATTTAGGTTTTTGAACAATGTGCATTTCTATATATATATATATATATATATATATATATATATATATAGTGGTGTTATATCCATAATAGATCATCCCCTTTGATCCTAAAACCTCCCTACTTGCTAGATTTATAAGACAATTTCCCCACATTTCCCTCTGTTTCGTTTCCTTATAAAATCAGTTTTGTTTACTCTTTCCATCTAATTTTTTGAGTCAGAAAAACCAAAATATTGGATAGAGAAAGGGAGACAGAGGTGATAAGGTTCCTTCTAAAGCTATTGGCTATTTTTTAGGATGCAGAAATTAGCCTGAGCCACTCCATTCATAGAAGAGGTTTTATTCTTTTTTTTTTTTTTTTTAACTTCCTTGGTTAATTTTTTTTTGACATTTCCTTTAAAAAGTTTTGGATTATCCTTTCTAAATCTGATTATATTTTACATGCATGCACTAGAAAGGTGGTGATTTAATGTTATTGAAGTTCCTGAGATTTTTTTTAAAAAAGATTTTATTTATTTATTTGACAGACAGAGATCACAAGTAGGCAGAGAGGCAGGCAGAGAGAGAGAGGGAGGCAGGCAGAGAGAGAGAGGGAAGCAGGCTCCCTGCTGAGCAGAGAGCCCCATGTGGGGCTGGATACCAAGACTCTGGAATCATGACCTGAGCCGAAGGCAGACACTTAACTACTGAGCCACCCAGGTGCCCTACAGCATCCTTTCTTAATTAAAATATCCTTCTCTTACAGAAGTGCCAGAAGAGTACAAAAATATTAACTAAGCAACAGAATTCACATAACATATATACATACAAAGATCATGTATATTGTTTGTCATTTTCTAGATTAAAACTCTCAATGGGTGCCTATGGAGTCTTCCATAGCAAGAATAATTTGAGCAACAGTTCTATCATCGTAGCTCATTAATTCGGACTTTTTATTTTATTATTTTTAAAATATTTTATTTATTTATTTGACAGAGAGAGACAACGAGAGAGGGAACACAAGCAAGGGGAATGGGAGAGGGAGAAGCGGGCTTCCCGCTGAGCAGGAATCCTGATGTAGGGGCTATCCCAGGGTCCTGGGATCATGACCTGAGCCTAAGGCAGATGCCTAAGGACTGAACCACCCAGGCGCCCCTAACCTGGAGTTTTTAACCAACTCAACTTAATATTCTAAACTTTTTACCTAAAATAAATTGCTGTGCATTTTTTTTTTTCAAAAATAGTATGATATGCAAAGTAAGAGCCCCATACATTTTAATATCATTTGCAATCCCCTTGTGGACAAACAGTCACACTTTAGTGCCACTTAAATGAAGAATAACCATTCATCTGTAACATACAGATACAGAAGGCTCTGGATTTTCATTTTAAAGTGCTTAATTACCTGCATAAAGACAGAAATAAAATAAAGAGTCTAGGCCAAGTTCATGAGTCTGAAATTACTTTTTTTTTTTAAATAAATGAGCAACAAAGCCTCCTTAATGCTGTTATGTGGCCATAAGCCAATCAAAGAAGAAAATGTTAAAAAGAACAAGAGGATCAGGAATTAAATTCAAATATATGAGGCAAGAACCAAAATCAAAAGCTGAAAGATGTGGTGGTGTTTTCAGCCACAAGACAATATGACATATTAGCAAGGAAAATCTAATCAAAGTTAAATCATAAAGTTAAATCTTCACATTAAGTATCCTGATAAGGGAAGTTATACAATCCAAGGTTATTTTTGAGGATTTCCTGCCTCTAGTCACCCACAAACTTATGTTTCCAGTATTCCTATCTATTAAAGTACTCGGCATCACTAACGGACCACATAAAACACAGTATTAATTCATGAACCCAAAGCCTTAGAATGGAAAACCATTTTTCACATAAATCTAAATTGCCATTCTCAAGTAATTTGAGTTAAGTACCGTAATTTCTAAGTTTGGCAGGAAAGTAAGCATATCACAGAAGAAAAAGGCAATAGATTTAACCTTGAAACAAGGTGACTTCCATATAGTTGTTGAAGAATTTGCTTATTATCAGATAAAGAATTTACAGTATTTAATCCCTTCCAGAGGTATAAAATGGTGATCAATCAGCAATTCAAGATGTTTATTTAAACCTAGAGGAGGAGGATATGGCTTTAACTTCTGAAAACCAAAATAGAAAAAAAAAACAACAACCCAGCTCTAATGTAGTTTATCTTCAGATGCTAGATTTAACATTAAATAATTCAATCTAAATGCTATTTCTCAAGTTCTTCTTTCATATGTTTCTGTTTTATCAGAATGTACTGTATATAAAATAGGGGCTTAAAGGTATCTATTTAGAAGGAAATGCTTAATGTTATATAGATAGCTTCTATAATTTATTTAAATACATAATCTCCTCATCAATTCATCTATCCATCCATCCATCCAGGCATTCATTTTACCTATCCTTCTCAATCCTTTCAGTCTTCTGATATTAGTCATTTTCTGAATTGTCCTTTAATATTCATGTGTGCCCTCAGGAAATACCTGTACACATGCAAAGAGGAAAAAATTAGTGCCTGACCAAAAAATCTTATGGTGATCATTTCCTTTAACCAACTGGTTACGTAAGGGGATCGTTTGTTTTGTTTTTGGTTTAATCAAGCCTTATAAGACTTACCTTGCATATTTAGTGGACCTTTAAATGAAATGCTTCTTTGAGAAATGGCCTTTTTTTTCCTCATATAATTGTTTCCTTGCCTACTCTACCCGGTTCCAAACACTGTCAACTAAAATTTATGCTGCTGATATAAAAACAGCCTATACACAAACTCACCCAGACAGCCTGAATAGACTGGTAAGTTTAGAACCACACAGTAAATACACATGTGTGTGCACTTGCGCGCGCGCGCATGCGCACACACACACACACACACACACACACACACAGGCAGAGAGAGAGAGAGAGAGAGACAGAGATTGAGAGAGAAAGAGAGAGAAACTAATAAACAAAATGCTTAAATAAATAAAGGATATTGTCATCTTCTCCACAAACTTATCATGTTGATTTTCTGTTTCGGGGAATTTCTTGATGTCACGTTCCAGATTAATAATTTGTTGTTCCATTGCTGTAAGGTTGCTCTTGAGAATTTGAGCTGAAACTGAAGAACAATGTGCAAAGTATTTAGAGTATTTTACCAACTATTCCATAAAACAACTAAAAGAAAACAGTATCATTTATTTTCTAATGTGCAGAATAGTTCCACGAAGTCAACTCACATTTTTCTGAATTACTGCTCTTGACGATGCTACTCTCCATGACATCAGTGAAAATGTGTAATATAATATACCAAATAATCATGTTTAATAAGAGAATGTCACCATTTTATTCAGCCATTAGTTCAAATGAAGCCATTTCTATTTAAATTTATTGATGGAATTCCTAATATTTCATTCTTTAAAATCTAATTTGAAGATTAAAGAGAAACCAAGGTTCAAAGAGATCTTACTTTGTTGATACATGTTCTTGGCTATATAAATGATATAAACTATAAAAAGGGTTCGAATATTTTTCTTTTGTTGAAACATCCTGATTTTTATAAACCAACATCTATGATAAAAGTTCTTATCCTTAGTACTTTTCATATGCATAGAGATGTGAAAGTTACTGTTGATACATAAAGAGAATTTAGAGCAAACCCCAGAAATACATATGCACATACATACCAACAAAGCTTCAGTGTGCCCTCAAACACTATCATTAATTGCTTTAATTACCCCTAACATTATCTGTACTTTTTTCTCTCTGCATTGACAACCAATAATTTTAAAAACTGTATTCAAACTGCTCCTAAATACATGCACATTTTCCAGATTTCTTATGATGCCCTCTCTTAGCAGAGGTACTTTTTATCTTAAACTATTTTATAGATACTCTATGAATGAATGACTGCCAACTACAAATGAAGGCAATTCTATCAATATCAATGCATTTGGCAGATTCTAGTTGAAAAGACAAGGTTAAGTATTAGAATTTAGTAGGTTAGACTGTGACACTGATTTTTAAATCCAGGCTCTGAAACACTGTTCTTTTCATTAAAGGACTGTGAAACAGAAAGAGAGAACTATTATAATTCTTTTTTTATTTTTTAAGTAAATTTTGTTCTCATACAGAGGCATATCAGAATTGCAATGAAAAATTTAAGAGGCTGACAAAATCAACCTCCTGGCAAGTTTTAGCCAGACTCTTCTGACACAAATTCATCACATTGACACCCACACTTTTATAACTCAAGAAGGAGAAATTGCCTTAAATATACATGGAAGTTCAGAGACTGAAAATCAAACACCAACACTAAAGACAATTTTTTTCTATTAATCTGTCAATTCAAATAACACTTTCCAATTAACTTCCACTTGTTGAGCTCTGACAAGCTTCAAAATGATTCTTTATCAGAGAAGTCTGCCAAAAATTTACTAATGGCTCGACAGTCATTGCTTGCTTTAAAGGATGAGTTGTTCGCTGTGCAGGAAATTATTTACTCTTGCTTTCTTTTTTCTTTTTTCAGATTTTATTTATTTATTTGACAGAGATCACAAGTAGGCAGAGAGGCAGGCAGAGAGAGAGGAAGGGAAGCAGGCTCCCTGCTGAGCAGAGAGCCCAAGGCGGGGCTTGATCCCAGAACCCTGGGATCAGGACCTGAGCTGAAGGCAGAGGCTTTAACCCACTGAGCCACCCAGGCAACCTCCTCTTGCTTTCAAACTGATTTTTTTCACTTGCATTTTTCCAGCTGAGTCTCAAAAATTACTCAAAAGGTATGTTCTCTTCTTGTGCCTGACTGAAAAATTTTGAAGGTATGAAATTCACAACTTGTTATGTCATGTAGGTTACATAAAAGTAATAAACTCATAACATTCTGTAATAAACAAAATGTGCCCAAAGGCCAGGTTTAGGTCACATTAGAAGAAATGGTAATTCCAGTAGTAAAAATGGGATGGTGACAATGATTCATCTTCTGATTGTTCAATACAGAAATAGCCTAAGCAAGTACTATGCACATAAAAGTCTAGATATCTCAAATAACAAGAGACAATATTTTTAATCAAGTTGAATTCTGAATAAAGCACTATTTGCTAGACATCTGTCCTCCTCAATTTCACATGTCATATCCTAAATCCTCTAAAAGTCTCTCCAGAATTCTAGTCCAAATTCTCTAACATTTATAGGCACTTTTGTTTGTTCAAGTGATCTTCCACAGATCATCTTCCACTTTGATTATAATTTTTGTTTTGTGCACATAAACACAGAGCCTCCATTATAAAACCTCAACCTACATAATGAAAGTATCTATATCTAATACTTTGCTTATACCTCTGCATTTGTCATAAATAAAACTCAACAAATGTTAGCTGAATATGCATATTTCAAAAAGTTTTGGTTCACACTTAAATTTATGCCTACTTTTTCAGTTTCTTTTTAAAATTTGTTTTTATCTAAATTCCAGTTAGCTAACGTACAGTGTAATATTATTTTCAGGTGTACAATATAGTCATTCCACACTCTGATAAAACACATAGTGCTTCTCACCACAAGTGCACCCCCTAATCCCCATCACCTATTTAACCCATCAGATTGCTCCCTATAGTTAAGTGTCTTATTTCTGGCTTTGTTTCTTTCTTTTCTTTCTCTTTGCTTATTTGTTTTGTTTTCTGGCTCGAACCCTAATCCTGGCCATAACCATAACACCCTAACCCTAGATTTGAGAAGAAAAAAGACACACACACACACACACACACACACTAATACTCAGGCATAAAAAGAATGAAATCTTGCCATTTGCAATGACCTGAATGGAGCTAGGGAATATTATGCTAAGCGAAATAAGTCAGTCAGAGAAAGAAAAATACCATATGATTTCACTCATACGTCAAGTTTATGCCTACTTCTGCAAATGAATGTGCATACAGAAGTTAGATACAATCATGATTGGAAGTTACCGTATCAATTACTAGTGAGAATGGAAAAGAACCAGGAAGGTGAAATATGTCTAATAATATGTAAAGGTGCAGGGTTGCAGGAGATGCTTAGACAAACAGGAAAGTAAGGAACTGGGATAAGGAAGGGAAGGAAGGGACACCTTTGCTAGGCTCCTTTGTCTTTCCCTCTAGTAAATTAGTAATTTATGCCTAAACAAAAGAAAATAAAATATCAGAGATGTAATAATCCAAGGATTCTAGATCAGATGTAATTTCATGGTTACATTAAATGAACAACACAATTATTTAAAATGTATATCCTTTAATCGATGGAATTACAGTATCTTAGACTTACAAGTGAACTTAAAAGGGATTTGAACAAGCCTCTCAAATTTTAAAAACTTAGGTTATACAGTGTCATGGTCTACATTCCTAGAAAATAGCACCTAAGACAAAGCTTGCCTTATTAGGGGTGAAAGTGGGGTATAATCAGAGGGAAACGGGCATGAAGGAAAGGGGAAGAAAGTGAATATAAGGGAGTAAGTTACTGAACTGGCCATAGCTTTACAAAAATTACAGGTGGTTCTTAGAGTCCCAGATTGTCTCCATCAGGGCCAACTCCTGTTTCAGTAGCGTTAACTTCCCATTTCAAATGGGGAGCAAGATAAGTGGCCCAGGCTTGGAGGTGGGGAGTGGCCTGGAAAGAGATGCTCAGTGGGTCTACAGTGGTATATAAATTAGATCCAGAAAAAAAAAATTAGATCCAGAACAGAGGATTCATTATACCCTAAGTGACTTATTCCTTTGACAGTTGATATAATTAGAAAAATTTGTTTACTTATAATCAAAATCTGCCTACTTGATATCTTACCAATTGGTCTTCATGTTGCCTCATAACAACACTGATTAAGTCTATTCCCTATTTTAGGGGAAAGATGTCACTTGCATCATCTTCTTCTTCTTTATTTTTTTTTAAGATTTATTTGAGAGAGAGAGAATGAGTGGGAGCGGCAGAGGGAGAGTTAGAGGGAGAAAGAAACTCAAGCAGACTCTTTGCTGAGCACGGAGCCCAATGTGGGGCTTGATCTTACGACCCTGACCTGGTCACTTGCATCTTCTTAATCTGCCCAGGCTACAAAAACCCAAGTTCCTACAACTAGTCTTCCTAAGGTATAGGGGTTAGTTATTATTTGAACTCTTAAGTAATAACTAATATTCAGTGAGTACTTACTATGTGTATACTTTTTTTTTAAAGATTTTATTTATTTATTTGACAGAGATCACAAGTAGGCAGAGAGGCAGGCAGAGAGAGAGTGGGAAGCAGGTTCCCTACTGAGTGGAGAGGCTGATTCTGTGCTCGATCCCAGGACCCTGGGATCATGACCTGAGCTGAAGGCAGAGGATTTAACCCACTGAGCCACCCAAGCTCCCCTATGTGTAGACTTTATTCTAACTAGTTTTATGTATTAACTCATCTAATCCATACAAAAACTGTATGAGGTGTGTACTAAGCTTAAACAAGGCTATGATATGAGCCCAGTGATATCTTCTCAGGAAATTATAAATGTAAAGCAATGTCTCTAGGACCTAGAAGGCCAGAAACTTAAATTAAATCTGTGCCCATTGGTACATACCATGTCACTTAAATTACGGGATAGGCATGATCTTAGGCGTCAGATCCACTTAGGTTTTAATCTTTGCCATATCAAATACAAGTTGGGTTACCTTGAGCCAGTCTCTTATTCTCTCTGGGTTTTCATTTCCTGATTTGCAAAATGAAGATAATAATACCTTCCCTAAAGCTGGTTATTAAAGTAAAATGATTTGCTGAATATAAAGCTTCTATCTTTATACCTGGTACATACAGGTAATCTATAAATATTCATTTCATATTTCACTATTCTTCTCTCTTTTCCCTACCTTCCTGCAGACAAATTCCTACTATGTATGTGCCACCAAGAATTAAACAACAGTTTAGATATAATCTGAATAGCAACAATAAAAAAAGCAGTTATTTTGTAGTTGCTACCACACTATGGCCTGATTTAATATAATTCAATATATTTAATATAATATTTTATTAAATATCTTAATACATATAATAATAAAATAACAAATATTTTTATTAAATATTTATTAAATTTATTAAGTATAAAATATTTTTAAATATCTAATTTAATACAGT